GGCCGGCAGCTTGAAGGTTTCTCCTTCTAGGGCAAATGTTTCCAAGCTATTGTTCACTGCAGAACTTCCTCTTCAAATGTAAACTTACCTGGAGACCCAGTATGAGAAACGAATGTTCGTAGAGGTATTCTGGCTAACACAGGGTTGGGGGCAGGGTTACTGTCCTGCTTGGTGACCTGCCTACTTATGCCCAAGATACAAAACATCCACATCTCAGGAAATGCTCAGGTCAGGCTGCATCAGGCTGTTCCTCAGGCGCTCAGGGACAAAGTAAAAGCAAAGGACACCAATGCTGGGCGCTTGGGATGGTGTCTTGTTCTCATGTGGTGGTCAGTGCCAGCACACATAGGCGGTTTTCTGCCTTTAAATAAGATAGCATAAGAAGCTCTTTGTAAAGTGTAAAGAACTGAGCACACATTAGGTGATTTCTTTTCTTTTCTTTCTTTCTTTTTATTTTCCATTTTTTTTTTTTTGAGACAGAATTTCACTCTTGTTGCCCAGGCTGGAGTGCAATGGTGCAATCTCGGCACACTGCAACCTCCGCCTCCCAGGTTCAAACGATTCCCCTGCCTCAGCATCCCCAGTTGCTAGGATTACAGGCATGTGTCAGCACGCCTAGCTAATTTTGTATTTTTTTTTTTTTTTTTTTTTTTGAGATGGAGTCTAGCTCTGTTGTCCAGGCTAGAGTGCAGTGGCACGATCTTGGCTTGCTGCAACCTCTGCCTCCCGGGTTCAAGCGATTCTCCTGCTTCAGTCTTCCGAGTAGCTGGGACTACAGGCGCCCGCCACCACACCTGGCTAATTTTTTGTATTTTTAGTAGAGATGGGGTTTCACCGTGTTGACCAAGATGGTCTGAATCTCCTGACCTCATGAGATTGAGGCCTCAGACTCCCAAAGTGCTGGAATTACAGGTTTGAGCCACCGCGCCTGGTCCTGTATTTTTTTTTTTTTTTTTTTGTAGAGATGGGGATTCTCCATGTTGGTCAGGCTAGTCTTGAACTCCCAACCTCAGGTGATCCGCCTGCCTTGGTCTCCCAAAGTGCTGGGATTATAGGCGTGAGCCACCACTCCTGGCCGTATTAGGAGATTTCTACCAGTGGAGGGTAGGTGTGGGTATTTTGGGCCTGGCTGTTCTATCTCAGGGCCTACCATTGTCATCTTGTTCACACTCCCTGTGCTGGTTATGAAGCTGATGTCTGTAAGGTGAGACTCACCTGTCTGTACTCTACCCTGTGATTCTGGGGCTGGGACTTGGCAAACCACACTGCTCTGTGGCCAGCTGGCTCCATGTGGGGCTCTGTCAGTAAGGAGGGATGGTAAATTGGCAGGAGGGAGCAAGGACTTGCCTCTTCCTCACTGCTTGTCTCTGTGAGCATCACCCCAACAATGACTTTTCACCTTTCAGTTTACCTCAATAGCAATGGGTTCCAGTCTCCAACATTTTCTGGACCCTCAACTCCAGCCTCAGAGATACTATGCCGTCACCCCTCCTTGGAAGCCTAGGTCCCAGCTCCGCAGGTCTCCTCTTCCAAGCTTCTAAATTATTGCAACCCCAGTATCTTCCCTGCGTTCTTCAGCCCCAGAGGTAGAGCTGCCTCTGGCAGTTACCATCCCTATGTTTATCTTGATACTTCCTTTTTGCCTTTCAGTCTCTAATACCTGCTTACTCAATTGCCTAGATTAAATTCTTTCTGTTAAAATACAGGTCTGTTTCCTGTTTTCTTTCCTAATTAGACCTGACTGTTAACATGCACCTTGGAGGCATTGCCTGAGAAGCACATCAGAGTGTAGGCTTACCTTGCTGTGCTGTTCTGAGGAGCCTGATCTCAGAAACCCTGCCAGTGGCCCCGACAAGTCAACCATCATGGTAAAAGAACTCCCTCATCACAGGAAAGTCCCCTAATCTAAGACAATGTTGATAAACAAACTAACTCCAGGAGAGAGGGTTTAATTTAAGAAAGCCACAGGGACCCTAAATCTTTTCATTCCAATCAAAGCTGTCAAAGCCAGTTATTGTCAGAGCCAGGCAGGTGGCCCCAAAGCTGCCATCTACCCGGCAGCTGTCCTGTCACTACGGAAACCACAAGTTGGTGAACAGGGCCCCAAGGAACCCTGCTGCTAAAACTCAGTTGCTTGACATATTTGTCATTATCAAGTCTGCCAGAGTGCAGCATCTTTTGCAAGAGTGATTCCCTGAAAATTCTCCTGCTTCAATCCCTCTACCCATTGTTTCCCAAAGAGACAATATGCCCACCTCTGAGAAAGACATGTGCTGGCAGGCATCGCAGGCACAAGAGGAGGCACTGGTTTACTCAACAACAGACAAGGCGACTGTCTGCATGGCTTTGCCACAGCATGGTGGCTGGGTTCCAAGGGTGAGCCTCACAAGACAGAGAACCAGGTAGAGGCTGTGCCATCATTGGTTACCTAGTCTAAGAAGTTACACAGTCACTTCTGTACCATTTAATTCATTAGTAGCAAGCCACTGAGGCTAGTGCATGTTCAAGGGGAGGGGAATTGGATTCCCCCTTTTCGTAGGATAGAAAAGAGTTTGTGGACATGTTTTCAAATGACCACAAACTACGACCTAAAGAAATTAGTGGAAGAGCACTCTAGGAAGAATTGTAAAGTCTCTGAGGCTGGAAAGGCTTGGTGTGTTTAAGGAAATGAAAGGCCAGAGAGGCTTGAGCACAGCAAGGGCAGAAGGTAAGATTTGAGGTTAGAGGTGGACAGAAGCCATATTAGGCAGTTATAGGAGCTTGGATTTTATTCTGGATGCAGTGAGGACTGTTGAAAGATTTAAGGTTTGTATTCACTTCTTGAAAGGATCACTCAAGCTAATATGCAGAGAATGGATTGAGGTGAGATAAGAATAGGGAAAACCAGTTAGGATGCTATTGGATGGTTCGGGGAGAGACAGTGATGGCTTGGACAAGAACGTTGGCACTGGAGATGAAGAGAAGTAGATAGAAATGGTGGAAGTAAATGAACACATCTACCAAGAGACCGAATGTGAGAGAAGGAAAGGAAGGCAGGAAACAAGAAGAATTCTTGGGTTTTAGGCTCGTGTCTGTCTTGACGGTGGAGCCCTTTCCTGTGATTGGAAGACTAAGAGAGGAACTCACTGATACGCACAAAAGGTAAAATCCAGAGTCCTGTTTTAGGCACATCAAACTTGAGAGGTTTGTAAGATATACTGATGGCAAGAAGTAGACATTTGGATATATGAGCCTGAAACTCAGTGGAGAGCTTGGGACTGGAAATATAAATTTGGGAATTATCAACATATGGATGGCATTTAAAGCCATAGACCTGGGTGAGGTCACCTGGGGAAAATCTAGAGAGAACAAAAGAGTGTGGAGACTGAGCCCTGTAAAGGGTAGCCTGCAAAGGAGACTGAAAAGGAGCGACCAAAAAAGACAGCAGAGAAACTAGGGCATTGGATGGTATAGGTATCTGAGAAAGCGTTGGTCTGAATGACTGTTAAGGCTCCTCCGGATATGAATTTCTATAACTTTACGGATGTTTCAAATCCCTTCAAGCTGGGAAACTCTGTCTCTGCTGCATCTTTGGGATAACAAGCTTCCTGAAGAATCACTGGGTCTTTTCAAAGACTGAAAATGGATTCCTAGCAATGTGAAATCTTGTGCCTGGGTTCTAAAGTGATCAAAGGTAAGGTTGAGCCCAGGACAAAATGAAGACCCCCTGGAAGGAAGCTAGGGCAACACAGTAAGTGGCAAAAGAATACAATCCTCTTCCAGTAAGGCTGGCTCAGCTGTGGCAGACCCAGGGTGGTTAGGACAAATGGCAGCCCCATACAGGGACATACATGGACCCTGATCCTTGTTTTTTTCCTTTCTGGGGCCTTTCTGAATCTCCACTCCATGTGCAGGGTTGACCTGTTACCTTGAGGAACTCTAAGATTGCATCAGTGGAGTTGTCTGAGGGCTCTGTGGCTTCAGCCCTGTCCAGGAGGGCAGCCTGGCAATTGGATTGTTCCTGCTGGCTGGTGCCGTTGTGTGACATTGAGCCACCAGAATGGTGCTGATACACTGCTTTTGGGTGATCCTCACATTAGGCACAGGATGAATTCAGGGCACTGGGCTACTGATGGTCAACTGTTAGCACACGGGCTTGGGCTGTGTGTGGGGGCCCATGCCTCAGCTCTCACCTGTCCATGTTCCTCCATGATACCATCTCTGATTTGCAGTGTTCAAAGGCATAGGATGGCAGCAAGCCTCCTTCACCCTGTATATCCATCCCCTTGCTGCTGGCACCTAAGGTTTTCACCCCATGCCCTCATCAGTCTCTGTACCACACATCAGGAAGTCCTCCAGTGGTGGCTGTGCCTGCCTTCTCTGAGGACTTTAAAGACCTTGGCTTTGCCACACCAACAGGCTCTTCCAACCAGTGCCTTGCCTCCAAATGATATGGCGATGTTTTGCTTTCTCAGGTCGATCTTAAGCCATTCCCAACAGGGAATGGACATCCTTGTATGAAAAACACTGTTTTTCTTGCTCCAGTTACGTCCCCTTGCCTTTCCTCTCTTTTGGTGGTGGTGTGCGGAAGCGGAGGTGCAGGAAATGTTGAAAGGGATCACATTCTAACAATGTAGTTATAATGGCCTGAAGAATTCAAGAGAATACATGGTTGGAAGATGTGTCACTTTATGTTAACACTATAAAACTCCAAATGAAAAATAAATTATCGTTCATACTTTCCTGAATATTCTGGACAAGGCTTACATTTTGGTCATTATTAATGAAGTACAGAAACAACCTCTGAGAGAGTGGTTGGATGCCAGTATTTGCAGGTGCCATGATGAATGATGCAGCATCATCAGTAAAGATGCAACCAACATTACACAAATGGTATCAGAGAACCACAGAGGCAAAAAACCAAAACGCAAACCCAAAACTATATTGTTTCAATACAAACAGGTTCCAAAAGCCATGATATTGTGAGTGACAACAATGTTGCTGCCTCTTTCTCACAACAGAAAATAAAACATTAACCAAAAGAGCATGGGCAGATATTTCCTGGATCTGAACAGGAATATTTGTTGTCTGAACTCTATGAAGAATCTTCACGTGCAGTGATAGAACAATAAACACATTTGTAAATACCTCTTCTCTATGGATTATTCTAGATCTTCATTGACAAATGTCAACACCTCACATAGGCCTGTACATTTTGAAATACCTTTTTAAATTAAATTGTTTAGATGGACAAGGGTCCTATAAAATATTTTTTCAGGGCTTTGTATACTAGGGGTGGCCCTGGTTACTGGTGACCTTGAAAATACTGTCTCAGTGGTCTGGTGGTGATAAATACCTCACTGGAGTAAGTGCAAGGGGAGTTAGAAGAGAAAAATTGCAGACAATGAATATAGACAAGTTAATAAAAAAGACTTTTTCTATAAATAAGAGCAAAGAAATGAGGCAGAAGTTGGAGGGGTTGGGGGTAAAGAGTGTGTGCATTTTTTAGATGTATTTTATGTATTCTGTTAGGAATGGTCCAGTGGAGGGGAGAAATTGATGCTGTCGGGAAAGGAGAGAGAGAGAGAGACAGAGAGAGAGAGAAAGAGAAAGAGAGAGAAGCTGAGTGATTTTCTTGAGCAGGCAAGAGGGGATGGGAGTCTGATGGGAGAAGCAGAGGGGATGTCCTTAGAGAGGAGCCCTGATATCTGTCACTCAGTGGGAAGGAAAAGGATGTGGGTGCAGATATTGGTAGGTGTGCAGGTGTGGTGGTGCGAGCTTGCAAAAGTTCCCAATGCTTCTATTTTCTTTGTGAAATAGGAACCAAGTTCATCACGGAGAGAGTGAGTGGGTTGGGGAAAAGGTATTTTATGTTTGAGGAGTGAGGAGAAGGTGTCAAATAATCATCCAGGTCAGCAGGTTAGTAAGCAGCATGAAAATGTGATAGGATTGCTGGCCACACTAATGACCATTTGAGACCTAATGACAAGACCAGTTGGACCAATCAGTTGGGTGGTGGTTGTTGATATTGTTGTTGTTTTCTCTACCTGCATGTAGCTGCACAGGGGCCAGTGTGGAATAGGCATAGAATTTGATTTCACCAGGATTGGGGCACTGGTTATGACCTCTTGCCTCTCAGCTCCAAATCCACGTTCGTTGCATGCTTGTGATATTGGAACCTTTCCCCTTGGTTAACTAGTATGTTATATGCTTCATCAGTAGGGGACACCAGAGGATGAACAGTATTTCCTAGTTTAGTGTTTTTTTTTTTTTTAAATCTAGGCAGGCTTTTGTAGTGCCCAGTGGCCAGTGACCAGCAGCATGTGTTTCCATAGGCATCTTCTCCCAGGACCCCAGAAGGTGAATTGCCAGTGAGTCCTGCCAGCAGGCCCCTCAGTGACTGCACTGCCCAGTAAGTCATGGCTGTGTACTTCCCATCGAGGTCTGGCTCTAAGCTCGAGTAGCGGGGGCTGCTCTTCCATAGTCATTCCATCCTTGTGTGCTCTGCCTCAGCCCTGGGGATAGTGGCCACTTTCTGTACATGTCAGTCCTCTATTCTTTAGATTTCTTGTTGCCATATTAGCAGCCAATTCTCTTTTGTTGCTGCTTAGCAGCCAATTTTTTTTACATAGAACTTTCCCCAACCAAATTATAGTATGGTTTCTGTGTCTTAACTGGACCCTGGTTGATACAGTTGGGGTTTTGAAAGTGAAGAATTGTCCAAGTGATGTTCATCACTTCTTTCTTTTCATTTCTGTATTTTTATTGCTCCTACTTTCTGTCTCCTTCCCCAGTAATATGTAAACTTATTTAAATGTCTCCTACCTGAAAAATAAAACAAAATGGAAGCCATAGTTGGCTTCTTATCTTCCTTTAGTTACTGCTCTGTTTACTTTTACAATCCAGTTCCTCAAAAGAGTACACTCTAAATCTGTGGTAGAGAGAACTGTTGTTCCCAACTCCTAGTTTCCCCCTGTAATAGGGTGACACAGCCCTGCCCATGGTGTGACTTGCCCATGCGCCCTGAAGGGACCATGTGCACCCCTGCTCCACTTATGTGGGGCTTGGCTTTAATTGTTGCTTTGATCCGTGGAACATGGTGGAAGCAACAAAGCACCAGTTCTAAGCACAAGGTTATGAGACAAGGCATATTTTGGTTTGCTCCTCTTGAGCTTCTGCTCTCTGCCATGAGAAGGGCATGTCCCACAGTATGGCTGCTCCTTAGGCCTGGGACCTGGAATGAAAGACAGGCAAAGGCCAGCTGAGGGCCTGCTCTGTGGATAGGGCTGTGACCACTCTCCCACTCTTTACCCTGGCACCACCTCAGGTCCAGGAATAAAGAAAAGCAACAAAAGTTTTCATTAGACTTTCAAAACTTTGAATCTTACTCATATTTAATCCTTAGTTGCTGAAGAAGTGACTTTCTTTTTTTTTTTTTTTTTTTTTGAGACGGAGTCTCGCTGTGCTCCCAGGCTGGAGTGCAGTGGCCGGATCTCAGCTCACTGCAAGCTCCGCCTCCCGGGTTCACGCCATTCTCCCGCCTCAGCCTCCCAAGTAGCTGAGACTACAGGCGCCCGCCACCACGCCCGGCTAGTTTTTTGTATTTTTAGTAGAGACGGGGTTTCCCCATGTTAGCCAGGACAGTCTCGATCTCCTGACCTCGTGATCCACCCGCCTCGGCCTCCCAAAGTGCTGGGATTACAGGCTTGAGCCACCGCGCCCGGCAGAAGTGACTTTCATATATAGGAGACACTAAGGGGGTACATTCTCAATGAAGTGACAGCCATGGGGGAGGGAAAGACTGATCTATATGAGGACTTCAAGGTCCTGGCATATCAGGGCAGGTCTTTAGGAGTCTTGTTGACATAAATAAAATAGGTAGAGAGGACATTAAGACTGAGGCCGGGCCCTAAACACTAGTGTATTAATTTGCTAGAGCCGCCATAACAAAATACCACAACTGGGAGACTAAACAATGACATTTGTTATCTCAGCTCTGGAGCCTAGACTTCTGAAATCACGGTGTTGGCAGGGTTGGTTTCTTCTGAGGGCAGTGAGGGAAGGATCCGTTCCAGGCTTCTCTCCTTGGCTTATCGGTGGTTATCTCCTTGTTTATATCATATTCCTGCTGTATGTGTATCTGTCTCCATATTTCTCCTTTCCATAAGGACACCGGTCATACTGGATTAAGGCTCACTCCTTAATGACTTCATTTTAACTTAATGATCTCTCTAAAGACCGTGTATCTAAATAAGCTCACATTCTGAGGTACTGACAGAACTACAGCATGAATTTTTGCGGGGACAACATTCAACTCATAAAAACTAGAATTAATATTCCCGAGAACAAGGGGTGAGCCAAGCCTCCTCCGTCATCTGGGGTGAGGGGCGTCTTCTGAGTAGATAAAGAACTCCTTTTAGGGTAGAAAAGAGCTGAAGTTCATCCAGTGCAAGTACTGAGTGAATTTATTCTAAGGTCCCAAGACAAGAGAAAGATAAAAACAAAAATGGACGTATCACTGAAGGAGATGTGCTCTGCCAGCTTCCAGCAGCAGCAAGAACAGTGGGTATATAAACTCCAGTGGCCAAGGTTGCCCAGGTTACCCTTTTCAGGGGGCAGTGGGGGCAGCAGTAGAGGCATAGTGGGTTCTGGAGTCAGAAAGACCCAGCATCTTGCTGATGCTCATGCTGCATGTTTTTTTCAATCCTCGCAGCTATAAATTTTTATCCCAATGGGGAGCACTGTTTATAGGTTGGGGGATTAGATTCCATAGCAAAGAAAGAAAATGAGGAGAGACACGTTGGACAAGTTGGTGAGAGACTGTGCCATTCGTCCTCTAGTCTTTGACCATAGACAAAGATTAAATAACGTTATATAGATAGGAAGAAAGAAATAGAGGGGGCAAAGAATCAAGTAGGTGACTCATTTAATCCTCGCCAAAAGGGTTTTTCTTTTTTCTTTTCTTTTTTTTTTTGAGATGGAGTCTCGCTCTGTTGTCCAGGCTGGAGTGCAGTGGCCGGATCTCAGTTCACTACAAGCTCTGCCTCCTGGGTTCACGCCATTCTCCTGCCTCAGCCTCCCGAGTAGCTGGGATTACAGGCGCCCGCCACCTTGCCCAGCTAGTTTTTTTTTTGTATTTTTAGTAGAGACGGGGTTTCACCATGTTAGCCAGGATGGTCTCGATCTCCTGACCTCGTGATCCGCCCATCTCAGCCTCCCAAAGTGCTGGGATTACAGGCTTGAGCCACTGCGCCCGGCCAAAAGGGTTTTTCTTATCGCAGCTTCTTTGCAACTCTGACCATATTGTAATATTAATCAATCAATCAATCACTCGCCTTTGTTGATATTTGTGTACCCTCCCCCTGCCCTAAATTTATATGTGGAAGCCTTAACCCCCAATATGACTGTATTTGGAGATAGGGTCATTACAGAAGTAATTAAGGTTAAATGAGGGTATGTAGGTAGGGCATTCATCCCACAGGATTAGTGTTCTTATAAGAAAAGACAACAGAGAACTCCTGCTCTCTCTCTCCTCTCTTCCTTTTTGCACATGCACAAAGAAGAGGTCATGTGAGCATGGAGCCAGAAGGTAGCCATCTACAAGCCTGGAAAACAACCCTCATCAAATTGGCTGACACCTCGATCTCGGACTTCCCCCTCCAGAACTGTGAGGAATTAATTTCTGTTTAAGCCACCCAGTCTCTGGTATTTTGTTATAGCAGCCCAACTGGACTAATGAAATTTATTTAAATTATATTTCCTCCATTGGAATGCAGAAACCAAGCATCTCTATTTCCCAAATACCACCAGTACCTGGCATGGTAGCTTTCACATGGCAGGCAGTCAATAAATATTTGTTGAATGAAGGATTAGTAATCAATAACATAATAGATATTATTATCCTCAGTTTAAAGTGGAGAAAATTGACAGATATGAAAGGATGCTTAATACTCACAACCTAGGGACACAAATGGCATTTCCTTAACCGAAGTTAGCTGAAAGTGGGCCAGGATCAAATAACATCTTCAGACACAAACTACACTAAAGATTGCTTTAGCTGATCCATGAGAAGGGTCATATTTGTTCCAATTTCACTCTAGTGTCCTCTCTGTAAAAGGGATTAGAGATTTGCCAATCCACATCTGGTTCACTCCCTATAAATCAATGCCTTCAGAGTCAGTAGACAGATGCAAAGCTTAGAGGAATTTAATTGCCAAAGGCAATATGGGGATATGAGAGGATGAGCATTTGCTGTCTCCTGAGAGACCTCACAGGGTGGCATTGCCTCAGTCCAGGGTCTGGTCTATGCCCTGCAGGTTTAGCAACTGGATTTGTCAGCACACTGAGTGTGGATCCATTTCTCAGCTTCAACTCTTAATTAATTAAGCTCAGAGAGCTGTTGCATGAAACCAGCATGTCAATTTATTGATTCACAAGAGGAATAAAACCGCCACTGTGTCTGGAACACTCGTCTCCATACAGCTTGCACATTCTTTCAATGAAGTCAGACCTCCAAGGAGGGCAAGTTATCAGAAGGTTGCTTAGTGAGCGTGGAATTCAAAAGAGTGAGCTAGTTAGATGATTCAAACGTTTAACTGCATTAAACTGGGAGAGCCGATACTGCCACATTTACTGTAGGAACAGCCTTTCCAAAGGTGTTGGATTATTCAAAGCTGTTGGCTGAGGCACCGTCTCCAGTGGGCATTTCTTACATGGGCTCTGCTGATGTTCACCATCCTCATGCTCCTGTTTTTATGCTTTTCATGGCTGACTAACCCTGCTTTGACTGACTCTTTTAGTCTTTTTACTTGCTAAACTGTCAGACACATTCTGTTTCAGATGACTTTGTCCATTGGTTTTGATCCCCCCATGCAGTTGAAAACCCATGTATAACTTTTGACTCCTCCAAAACTTAACTACCAGTAGTCTACTGTTGCCCAGAAGCCTTGCTGACAACAGAGTTCATTAACACATAATTTTGTATGCTATATGTACTATATACTGTACTCTTACAGTAAAATAAGCTAGAGAAAAGAAACTTATTAAGAAAATCATAAGGAAGAAAAAATATGTTTACTATTCATTAAGTGGAAGTGGATAATCACAAAGATCTTCATCCTCATTGTCTTCACATTGAGTAGACTGAGGAGGAGGAGGAAGAGGAGAGGTTGTTCTTGCTCTCTCAGGGCCAGCTGAGGAAGAAGAAAATCCATGTATAAATGAACCCATGCAGTTCAAACCCATGTTGTTCAAGAGTAAACGGTAATGTGATCCATAACCTGGGACATTCTACAAGATAACTCAGTTGGATATTTCAAAATGTTAATATCAAGAAAGAATGGCTGGACCGTTCTGTTAAAAGAGTCACCATAATGAAGTATAATGCATGAAATGTGATTGGGTTCAGGTTAATAATATAAATGCAACTATAAGAGATATTGTTGGGAAAAAGGTGGAAATTCAAATATGAACTTGTTATTCAGTGGTATTATGAACAATTGCTAATTTTATTTGGTGTAATAATGGTAATGTAGGGGACTGTCTGTGCTCCAGAGATGTAGGCAGGGTGTTTAGCGCTGGAGAGTTACAATGTCTGAAACTCAGTGTCAGATGATTCAGCCCAAAACTAACAAACAATGTCTACCTATCTACACAGAGAGAAGCAAACATGGCAAAATATTAGCCATGTCAAATCTAGGTGGAGAGTAAATGAATATTTATTTTACTATTTTTTTTTTAAATTTTACTTTAAGTTCTGTAATACATGTGCAGACCATGCAGGTTTGTTACATAGGTATACATGTGCCATGGTGGTTTGCTGCACCTATTAACCTGTCATCTAGGTTTTAAACCTTGCATGCATTAGGTATTTGCCCTAATGCTCTCCCTCCCCTTATTTTACTATTCTTGCAACTTTTCTCTATGTTTGAAATTTTTCATATTAAAAAGTTAAACGAAAGAATATAATGTATTATAATAAGTGGTTTGTAAATGTAGTGGTAAGAATAAAAATTAAGCAATATTTACTAAAAAGTAAAATTTGAGAACCTGGGAGATAATTCTCTCTTGGAAAATTGGGTAATTCCTTCACCTCCCTAGGTTTCTGCTTTCTCACTTCAAATCAGGGAGGTAGAGTTGGGTTAGGAAAATCTTTAGTGTCTATTGAGCTGTAATATCCTAGAGTTTGATGTAAAGTATGAATGTACTCAATTTTGTTTGCTCTCTCTTCTTAGGTAAAAAGACATCCCTCAACTATGGTAAACAACAACAACAACAAAACAAAACAAATAAAAAAAAACCCTGCATCAATTTGATAAATAATCCTCCCCCTTCATATCACTGTTTTTTTTTTTCTGCACATCTTACTGGTATTTAAATGCTGAACTTACACTTTCCATGGGCATGCTTAAAGACTAAACAATAGTTGAATTCTAAATTAATCAACTGACCAACCAGTAAGCATTTATTAAGCAACTCCTTTGGAGTCATCTATCTGTTAGGTGCTGTGGGAGCACAAAAGAAGTAGGACATCATCTCTGCCTCAGGGAATTTAGTGTTTTGGGGAAAACCTGAGTAGTATACACAAAGCAATTGAGGAACAAACTAGGACTTTGCAGTCCATTAGGATTTCCAAAAATAGAAAGAGAATGGAAAGTCACCTGGCTAGGAGAAGCCAGTGGAAATATGACACGAAGGAAAAAGAGCAGCTAATTTCATTCCTGTCCACCAGTTATTTATGTGTTTATCCTTAATTACATTAGTTTGATTTCCCTTATTAAAGTCTGATGTCTTAAAAAAGCAGAGAAGTGAGGCAGGTCAGCAGGGGATGTAAGTTGGGAGGAAAGACAGGTGAGGGCAAGAGTTTCGGCAGAAGCCGCAGTGTTGGCTGGGCAGGTGAAGGTCAGGCAATGGAGGGTAACCAGCCATAGATGACCCAGGCAGGAGCTGTAACCAAAATGTTAGAAAGAGTTGTTAAGAAATTGTTCCAGGCGGGCGCAGTGGCTCGTGCCTGTAATTCCAGCACTTTGGGAGGCCAAGGTGGGTGAATCACTTGAGGTCAGGAGTTTGAAACCAGCCTGGTCAACATGGAAATACCGTGTCTCTACTAAAAACACAAGAAACTATCTGGGCGTGGTGGCATGCACCTGTAATCCCAGCTACTCAGGAGGCTGAGGCAGGAGAATCGCTTCAATCCAGGAGGCGGAGGTTACAGTGAGCCAAGATCGCGCCACTGCACTCCAGCCTGGGTGACAGAGGGAGACTCTGTCTCAAAAAATAGCCTTTTCAGCACTGTCTTAATGGTCTTGAGAACATATTACCCTGAAAATGTAAAAATAGAGCCAAAGAGGTGAAAGCTCCTCCCACGGCTTCCAAACAGGGACGGCTGCTTCCGCGGGCTTTGGCTCTGCCAGTTCTCCCTAGACCGGGGCAGGCGGGCGGTGAGGATTTCGGCATCTATTAAGTGCCAAATAGAAACAAATGTTTGTTTCTATTACTAGAGTAAAACAACAGAAGCCTGTATTTTGACCAGAGGCCTGGAATCCACTACTTTGTGAATTAGCTAAGCAGCCACAGTCGAACGTGAACCAGCCCGGAACAGGGTGGGCTGCAGAGGCAATAAACAAGGATGTCGTCAAGACCCTGTTTCTTCCTAGCGTGGCCTCCCAGGATAAAATATACAATTAATAATTACTGGAAGGCACACTTTCTGATTATGGTGAAACCATCCAATTAGGCCATGGTTTTGCAGAGGGGCTAGGTTGGAAATTCAACCAGAACAATTTAATGTCTGTTGCAAAGCTTCTTAATTATGGAATGAAAGCTACCTCAAAGTGCCTGGAGGTTTGAGCTGAATGGTGAGATCTTCATTGCCCTGACCTTCTCTGTGCTGAAGTTTGCTGACTTGAGGAGACCTCCCCTAAGAAAAGACCCTCCCCTCAGGACTGCCTTCAGCAATGATGCTTGACCCTGGTAAGTCAGTCAAGTGGGAAGTTTGCAGCACACACAGCTCAAAGGACTCACCCAGTTTGCCCTATTGGAGGATGTTAACCTTGGCACACTGTTTTTGACATTTAATTTTTCCTTCCATTTAGTGCATGACTCTTTTTTTGTCTTTCTAGTAAATTCATTTAGTTAGTATTATTCTTTGCCTATTTTGTCTTTTAAACTTCTGGTTTTTGATTTTTCATATTTTATATTATTTATTCTTGGTGTTCATGCTTCTTATTCTCTTTTCTGCTGTTTTATCTTATTGTTGTGATAATGGTATAATTTTATTTTCAGTAAGCTCCTTTTACTAACTTCATTTATTTCCACGTAATATTTTATCTGGCTTTGACCACGACTATGTAAGGGGACAGCAAAGTGGAGCCACAAATGGGAAGATTGTGAAGAGGGCCCTTGGCCAAATAAAGAGGAAACCTTTTCCCTGAAGAGGCCTTTTCGGCAACCCAACTAATTCACCCATTTTTCTCAAAGTTGAATTTTCTTCCACAAAAACCCCTTGACTTTGTTATTCAGTAGATCCTCAGGCCTAGGAAAATAATATCTACATTGACCAAGGAGATATCTGAACTACCAGTACTTCCTGCAGCATCTTTGTTTTGGTTGGCCTGGGCAGGTGGTGGGGCGTGGGGGTGAAGGGAGGGGTCTGAGGAGGGTAGAAAACAAGGGTATCCCCAGGGCTGTGGGAGGAAGGTCTAGTGGACTGGAACCATTGTATCTGTCAATTAGTGGAGGCAATCCTATTTGTGATCCTTGAGCTAATGGTCTAGGAAGGCTATAAACTTGCTCATAATTAAAGCTGGCAAGAGGGTTCTTACCCCAGGTAATGAGACAAGAGTGAACTGTGGGAGGAAGCCAGCACAGGGACCGTATGTAATGAGTCCCCTCATGGGAAAAGGGGTGGAAAACAGTCCTCAGGCTAGCAGCAGAGGGAGCGCTGTCTGTTCTGGGTCTTGACTTGCCTAAGAGGTCTGACTTGAGGTGAGGCTGAAAGACAGCCCCGTTGGGGGCTTCAGGATAAAGATGGACCGATAGGGTTCTCTCACCACTTAATATCTCCTAAGGCATTAGTAAAATACAATTTAAATATTTCCTCTGTAACGCATTTTGTGCTATTAAAGCTCTGTTTCTCAAAGTAGGTCTGTAGGTGTGTTCTTGAGGGAGCGAGTGTTTCATAAGCATTTTCAAATTTTCTGCTTTTGTTTTGAAGATAATCGTAAAAAAATAAAATCAAAATGTTGTACTACATTATTTTTAGTGCTAAAGGCTGAGTTTGGTGCCAAACGAAGAACAAATAACATCATGGCATGCTACGGAAATGTCGATTTTGTATTAAGTTTGAATAGAGAAAGATGTGGGAAAATTGATCAATTTTGTGGCCCCAAAGTAGTACAGACATCCTTAGTTCAAAAGACCTGTCATAGAAGTGGCATATCATGTTGAGAACAGAGTTATTGTGAGACATACCAACTTAAACTGTCATTCAATAGCAGGAAAGAATACAGTTATTTTTATTCCATATATATATATATATTTTATTTATTTATTTATTTATTTATTTATTTATTTAATTAATTTTGAGACGGAGTCTCACTCTGTCAACCAGGCTGGAGTGCAGTGGTGTGATCTTGGCTCACTGCAACATCTGCCACCTGGGTTCACGCCATTCTTCTGCCTCAGCCTCCCGAGTAGCTGGGACTACAGGCGCACGCCACCACGTCTGGCAAATTTTTTTTTTTTGTATTTTTAGTAGAGACGGGGTTTCACCATGTTAGCCAGATGGTCTCGATCTCCTGACCTCATGATCCACCCTCCTTGACCTCCCAAAGTGCTGGGATTACAGGCATGAGCCACTGTGCCTGGTTTATTCAGTAGTATTTTTAATGTTAGTCTTCAGTATTTTTTATTATTATGTACTTACTGTGGTGCACTATTAAATTTATCAGCCCCTCAAACTAATGGATTAGTAGTTAAAACAAGCTTATTTACCAAAAATGATTAATCCTACAATAACTTCAAGAAAGACTTAAGATATCCAGTATTGCTCAAAGTCAAAAGAATCAAGTGGACAGAAAGTGAAGCATAAAACATACAAATAGTAGGTCTATTAAATCCAATGCCAGCAATTTAGTTCCAGCAAAACATCATTTATCACGCTGATGTTTTCTATATGAACTCTAGTGACATTTGTATGTTTGTTTGTTTTTAATTTGCAGCTTTGCTTGAGTTTTGAAGTAATTTAAGAGCTACGTGTATGGGAAATTTGTATCTAGTTTTATATCTGTTCATTTTAAAGTAACACAATAAAAATAATGTACAGCAACAGTAGGATTTTATGGGAGCTTTTTCTCTTTTAAACATTATTCAAGCTTAAGAAATCTGTGACAGAGAATTAATGGGAAGCTTTTTTGTCTTTTCTGTCTCAGGCTAACTGGGCCATAACACCTCTTCAGGCTGGGGTTGGGGTAATGGAAGCAATTAATGAAAGACAGGGGAAGAAATTGGGGATGAGTTAGATATTTATGGGCCAGTTCATCCTCTGAATGTGGATAACTACTACTCAGTCACAATCTTGGTGAATTTTGTTTTATTTTGAAAGCTGATTGTTTCCTTAGGGATATCTGATATTAGGATATCTGAGTTCTAAGAAAACCAGGAGAGTTCTAAGTGTTGACAAAACTTAATAGAGTAAAAGTAGATATTGGTGTAGGTGTAGAAAACTGGAAATTTAGGTTCATAGAACTGAGGTGAAATGTATGTGTGACTGGAACAAATCTCTGTGTGTGTGTGTGTGTGTGTGCCTGTGTGTTCGCTGTGAAGGTCCCAGTAAATTTGCCTACAATTGTGTGTGGCTGGTGGATGGGCTGTCTGAATGAAAGACATCACCCATGCACCAGACCTCTTTTCCTAAAAGAGTTTGTTCTGGGGACTTCCCTGGTTGTCTCAGGTGTAAGTTCAGATGTACTCTAGGGTTTTCCTGAGGTAGAAAACAAGATTCCATGACTGCTTTTCAGGACTGTGACTTTCTATTGCAACCAAATGTTGGAGTGCCAGTGGGAGGCCAGCACTTTTTCTACTCTCCCTCTCATTGTTTATTTCAGTTCTTTCTTGATTGTTGTAAACACATGTATGGCATGGAGAGCCAGGTCTTGGTCAGGGTTAATCTAGGAAGGGTGAAAAGCAAAGTGAATCCAAATAGACAAATGTCATTAGAGTGAGAATGCCAGGGATTAATGGCATTTGTGACTTCATGGGGCCTCAGATAGCCACTTTCCAATTTTATGAATGGGTATTACATTCACATAGGAAAAGAGCATCTGCTCTCCCC